GTATCTTAAATCTGTCTTCAATCCGAGATAAATCTCGTTTTCAAATCGTACATGATATTTAGAGTTAATAGCTTTACATGTAGTTTTAATTCTACACGATGTTTCTGTTGCTTCATTCTTTTTCGATCAGCTTTTTCTGCTCGTGGGCCACAAACGACGATGGAAGACAACATCAAACTACATCATTACGACAGATGTCACAGATTTAATAAAAGGTGGACAAGGTATCGGTACACTACGGTAAGGATTTCCAAAACCTTTTTCAGCACATGAATAGTTTTATCCATATATATTTTACATCTGTAAACAATGCTGTTTATTTGAAGAGCAAAAACTCTTGGTGGCTTAGAATTCACCATCTATGGACAGAGGCCCCACAACTGTAAGCGCGGGTAAGCAATAGATAACTCAAAAACAACGATCAATTTGTCATTATTTAGAGTAATCGATGAGTATGATGAAGAACTAGCTGCTGTTCTATATGTAAGCAAATATTGAATAAAAGGTTGAGAGTTGTATTTTTATTGTCTTATTAAAGGAAATGAACATCCTTGGCATGAAAGGTCCTCGAAAAATGACAGTACTTCTTCCAAGGCAAGATGAAAATCATAACCAAGTCGAGATCAAATTGAGAAAAGTGAGTTTCATGACCAATAAAGTCATTGATTCGATTGATTGCTTCAAACAGGAATCAGCAAGTCTTCTGGATAGATGGAAGCAGCACAAAATGGATGATATCCTCGAGTTGCATAACAAAACGCCTGTCTGGAACCAAAGTGAGTATTTTAGTCGTCCATCGTTGAAAGTCTAACGACATCTTCTGAAAGATTTGACAAGCATAAATTACTGTGCATCTCCATGAAAAAGACTTCTAACTCAATGTTATTGCATTTTTCAAGTTATAAATTTTGTTGGGCTATATAAAAAAAGGATCAATATTTGAAGCAGACAAGCGTAGTAATACAGGTTTCTTGACTAGTTTCTCGTCCGTGTTCAACATGCATGAGCGGTTACATCATAAATTTGAAATAGTATTTAGTCTTTAGCTGAAATAAAGCTCAGTACTCACTCAGAAGCATAAATTTTCGGAAGATTGAAACTCATGTAAACCAAATTTAAAGATTGAAATATAATAGATCATGAATTAATTTCCTCTGGACGACAGTTAAGTTGTTGGACTACTCTTTTTTTCTTCATATTTAGATAGTGCAGCGCATGTGCTCAACTTTCATGGTAGAGTCACTACAGCATCTGTCAAAAACTTTCAATTGGTGCAAGATGATGATCGTAAGGCTTTTTCAATTCGAATCTGTATACGTCGCAAGGCAAAGACAAGCAGCTTTAACTGTTTTATACACAGGCCTTGATATCTCCAGAATTTCATTCAAAACAGTTCATCGTGTGTATATCTATTCTGTCTAAGGTTGAATGATATAAGAGTAATATTGTTTTATGTAATAATTGGATACAAGGGAGAAATGATGAACTTCAAGTAGAGCAAAGTACGGCTAAGTTACATAAAAAGTAGCTTAAATTACAACGAAGTACTTGAAAATCACAAGAAAGTATTTCAAAGTAGCTCGAAGTGCTCTCAAGTAGCCCAAATTAAGTTCAAGTACAAAGTACATTGTTTCCTCTTGGTTGAGCATGGCCTTACCATCCGAATTTTCTTCTCTCTCTTCCGAGAAGTCTCAAGACTATCAGTTTATTCTTTCAAAATGCAACATCAGCTGACTTTTTATAAGAAACTATCATAATTCATTTTCGACTTCTAGTATTCTGTATACACGATATAGTTCGCGTAGTTATGAGATATGCTCTAACATTTATATGATGTGATTTAACATCGAAGCTATATTTCTTTTCATTTTAGAAGATTATATATGTCTCCAATTTGGGCGAACATCCAAAGATGAATTCTCATGCGACTATCGATATCCATTATGTGCTGTTCAAGTATTTGGCATAGTGCTATCATCATTCGATCGCAAACTAGCGTGTGAATAAAAATTGTTTGCTTAGATCCTTTTTGTATTTATTTTACTTTTTAATGCTATATTGAATTGAAAGTTAATATAGGTTCTTTCCATAGACACTCAGTGCACAAGAATGATTTCATGAGAATTCGCTGACTATTTAAAAAAATAGCTTTCAATCAAATTAAATTTCTGAGGCTTCATAGATTCCTTTGGTAGCAGCGAATTTGGTACCATATGTTTCAGATTTATTTCAAATTAGGAGAAAAACAGATCGACAATGAAGTACACGTTTGGTACACATCTATTTTCTTATAATCATTCTACTTGTTAATTTATTTTTTATGTTGGGATCCATCCATAAACTAGAGTGTGGGTGTGGGTGTGAGTGTGGGATGTGGCTGTGGAAGTCAGTGTAATTGTGGTTTGCGTTTAGGTAAGTGTGTGTATTAAGAGTGTTTATCTACATTCACACCCATATCTAGACATTATGAAACTTGAATATATCAGACCTAGTTTGAAGCCATACATTGTAGATCAATGTATCTTCTAAATTGGTGATAGTATCCTTTTAGAAATTGATAAACCTTTAGTTATGTTAAATAATGCTTTCAAAAAAGTATAGATCAGACCTATAAATTTTGTCAAGAAATTATATATTGGTATTGGGAAAAGTCAGACAAAAGAAAACCATAGATATTGTTCAACATTAGTTATTGTGAATTACTAGATGACGAAATTTGAAAGAATTCTTGAAAGAATTAGTTTTAAGCAGCATTGCATTTTGTTTTTTGTTGTTGAAGCTTTCTCATTACAACTGTTGCCTATTTTATATACACATAAAAAAGATTTGTCTCCATCTATTGATCATTAATATTATTTATGATGTAAGGGAAGCTAGCAGCAGATTCGAGTTTTTCGCAAAACGATTCGTCCCATTGAGTGTGCCACACCCGAGATGCCGTGAGCCAGAAGCAGCTCGACGAGCTCTATCGAATGGTATATTCAGATTTTTTCTGAAAAAAAAATCGAAAAAAGCGCTTTTCTTCTGGCGATTCGCTCCATAAACTGAGTCACCTCTGAATCTTAGCTCATTCGATTCAGCTCAACGAGCTCTATCGATCGATAGATGTTCCACTCGAGAAAACATAAAATTTTGGTTATTAAAATTTCCGAAAATCTACCAAACGGGATGCACATCGCGTCACCTTGGAAGATCTATTGCAGTTCTTGTCCCACTCATGTAACACAGTTCAATCCATGGAATGTTGGAAGTCCTATGGAATAATCTATGTGTGAATATATTTATTATTTATGTTCGTAGTGGCGAATACTCATGAAATCTATATATGCACTGTTCCTTTTTTCATTGAACAATTCGTTAGATAATTTGAGTCAGCAACCAGTCTATATGGAATTGTGTGTGCGTGTGGGTATGGGTATGTGTATGGGTGTGAATGTGGGTGTAGGTGTGGATAAATAGAAGAGACTTACTCACACCCACACCCCACACTCATACCCACATCCCTCACCCGCACCATCTACACCCTTAAGTCATAATCAATTTAATGAATAGAGGTAATTGATGGTTTGTCCTTCTTCAACAGACCGTTTTCGCACACAAGACACTTCGATTAGAAAATGATGCAAAATAGCTCTTTTTAATTAAAAATGACTGTGTAGAAGCACAGTGGGACAAATGCCTCCAGTGGATCATCACACAGTATTGAACAACCTTTTACGTGTGCAAATAATCAACTCATAAATGATTATAATCCGTTATAACATACATTTTCGAGATAATTCTTTTTGTTATTCACATTAACTCGCTAGAATTTAATTATTTACCCACTAACAATTTATCCTCGTGTACTCGTGATTCGGGAATATTTAATTCGTGATTTGATAAGAAGTCTTGTCGCCGCTAAGGTAAAAAATCAACGATGTATGACAAAAAAAGTCGCAACTTTGTCTTTCTTACAGAACCTACCGATACTGAACACCACAACAGAAGTTCCTGATCGAACGAGTGTTGCTCAGAATCAATATCTATGTCAAGTATTATTGCTAGCACTTGGCTGAAATATCTCATACCTCAAAGCGAGAAGTATTCGCACAAAGAATTCCACATATTGTGCTTATATATATTTCAAAATAAAATTGAGAAATTTCATTGGATTCCATTTGTAAACAGAAAAGATCAGGGATTGAAAAGAAAGGCTGTATCGAATTTTCAGTCAAGAAAACTTTACTTTGGTTGTTGGACTCTGAAATTATGTAGATGAAAGTTAGATGATCCAAGATTATGTTGTGAAGGGTGTGGGTGTGTGTGTGGCTAAGGATTTGGTTCAGGTGTGCGTAAACGGACACATGCACCCACACCCACACCGACACTATTTCCACTTGCTTCTCTACCGTGAACATTTCTACTCTTCTCGTTCTGCACCATAAAGACAATATACTCACATTTCAGTTCACCCTGATTTGTCGCTTCATTATCTTTGGATTGCGAAATAAATGTCGATCCAGAATAATCTGGTATCTAATAAGATTCTCACATCATCAAAAGGTCGAAATATCTTTTGTACTTCAAAGCTCTTCGAATTCTATCAGAGCAATATTCTCCAAATTCATACTCTTGCTCTCAATCAAAGCTGTAAACGACTGAATATATGATTTTGAGTTTATGAAAACAAAGGATACGATATTCATGATTGATATAAATATTCAGTACTTTTTGAAAAAAGTTAAATAGAATATATTTTCCAACGTGTATTTTTTATTAGAATTGAAAAGAGTGAAAAAAGATAGGAAACATAAAGAGAAACAAACAGATGAAAATATGAGAGACTGATAACCATGTTTGATTCTTAGTATAGAGTCGCTTTGTGCCATATTATTTCCTAGAAAGAGAAAAGTCAGTCGAGATCATAAAAAAAGAATAACATAAACTAAAAATAAATATAGGAATCGTAGAAAGACATCAGAAAATTCTGGCAAAGATTTATAATTGAAACACTATACTTACGCAGCATCGTTGTTTTTTTTGGGAAGAATATGATTGCCACGAGCCCAATAACTACCAGGACGAGCAACACTGGCACTACAACGCTTGAGACGACGATCATAACCAGCACAACGATCGCTATCAACAGCACCATCTTCAGTAGTGGTAACACCACCACCAGAACTACAAGTACAACGCCATTGACGACCAAAAGGCCAACTCGCACGACAATAAACACAATGACGAATATGAGGATCATCATTACCACAACAATCAGCAGCATCATTACAAAGATCACCAATAGGCATACAATTACGTTTCTTAACAGATTGGCTGAACTCTTCCTTTACTCGTGCATCGCAATACAATGTCAAGAATGTCATAATAAGCATAAAATACATCACCGCTTTGATGCTGCTTATCTTTCTGCTTTGAGTTGAGAATGGAATACGAACAGATTTATTGGTTTGAATAAATGTTTGCTGACACTGCAATTCTTATACACACGTCAAAAGTAATAGAAAAGAAGAGATTTATTTTTCATTCACGATATCCAGAGACGTGGAAAAGCAATTGGTTGCTGCATGAGCACTTGAGCATCCATAAATAGTCTAATGCTATAGTAAAAAATTAATTATTTCTTTTTCTCTCTCTTGCTCTTCATACAGATGAAATTGGATTTCGCCTGTAGGCATGCTCTCACATAAGTTTCTCATTATAACAGAAAAAATTGATCGCAAATGATGATACAACCATATGTGGATCCTCTTTCCTAAGTATTAACATAACATTTCGGATCAGCGGTGTTTTTGTCGACAACAATGAGAAAAAGGCGATATTCGAATCTTTAAGTCAATCAACAATCAACTGATGTCTTAATTGAAACGAGTATTGAACTGATTCAATCATTCTATTTGGCATTTTAGCTTGTCCGTTTATGAAACAAAAGCTTATACACAGTTCATTCCGGTCTATGTAAGATTTGTTGGTCGCCATTGAACTAATTTGAATGGTTTTTTATTAAAATTAACAGTGGAAGCATCGGAAAGACAAAACTTGTCGAAACCTTTTTCTGATGAAAATTGAATAGTGTAAAAGATTCTTGAACAATAGCCCAATCGTCTACAATATACTACATTATTTGTATGAAAGAAAAGTTTCTCGAAAAGGACAGATGAATATAAAATTAGGTTTTCGCTCATGGAACTTTTTTTATGTAAAAATTATAAAAAAAAGCTTACCAACGCAGTCCCTTTAGGGCTGAAATATGAAACTCACGTATGTTCTCCAGCTCCATTATACTTATATGAAACACAAAACGTGTAAAATCGAGAATTTTTAAAGTGTCTGACAGGTGCCCTTATTTTTCTTTTTGATTGTTGCTATGTGCTCAGTATTTTCATTATCGCAATTTTTTTTTAAATTCATATTTTTATTAAAATAAGCACTGAATTAGATTGAAAATGAAACTTATATATATCTATAGATTTCCATTATTTAATCTTGGTTCCTAAGGTCTGTAATGGAGAGGGGGGGGGGGGAGAGGCGAAAGAGGAAAGCCGCGAAACCTCTGCCTTAAAACTTCTACCCACTGTTGTCTTCGACAGTATACGTGAGTTCCACAAAATACATTCTTTTTTTCTTTTTTTATGATCTTTTTATCGTGTAATATTTCTCTCATTGGAAGTTTATATTGGTCAAACTGGCAAGTGCATTACTCGATTTGGCGGACATTGTGACATCTTCTCTCAACTTGTCATTATTTATAAGGATGTGGATTTGGAGTACGAGTATGTGTTCGATCAAAAGCACACCGACGTCCTCAATACACCGTCACATCCTCACATCCACATCCAAATTTGGTAATGCTATACAAGTTAATGTACGTCGACTTATCAATTTAAATTCAGAATCGATGTGAGCTATAAAGCCGATGAAACCCAGGAGTTCAACTAGTGCAATTGGAAGATCAACTTCAATAATTGTGTCTTCACTAATGGGTTTTTTAACTTCAAAGTGACAAAGATAATTAGAAAAATACATTGAGCCTAATGTGCTTGCAGACTTAACTTTTTGAGAAGTCAACCTGTCAGTAATTTTCCTTTGACTAGGTGAAATGTTGAACTGGTCGGATGTAATATCTTTGGTGCCACGCCTTGTACTTTTGCAAATTTTGCATGCTGTTTCCCATGAGTTTTTTTCATTCATTATTTTGATATCAGTATAGAATTGATTATTTACAGTTTTTTGCAACATAATTTATAGCTAAATCTGCATTATTCGAACTTGTTGTATCAGATATAACGACTGAAGATGCTGATGTCATTTCTGTAAGATCTGATGACATGATAAAACCTTCAACAAGATTAATAAATCTTTCAATCTTAAAACTGATTTAGCGTTTCATTTTTAAAAAGAAAACAATTATTTGTTTATTTATTATAGAATGACTTCGAATATTCATAATACAAGCATAGCAGACTAAAATAGACAGTCATTGTTGAATTGAATATTATTGAACAAAAGGTGAATGCATTATACGAGGCATACATGATTAACAAGAGACATCATTTTAGTCCACGGAAATAAGAGCTATGCATGATGTTGCACTTGTAGATAAGGAATAAATGAATATTGTGGCTGTGATCCGCGAGAATAAGAAAATACATGAGTATATGAAGAGCATAGATACAAACCTATATCCATTCAGCAAAGGAAGAAAAGAAAAAAAAATAGCAGTAAGATGATGCGAGTGCAAGAGAAATGCATATATGAAAATATGAATTTGATGAAGCTACCTGGGATAAAAACCATAGAAAGAAATTACAAAATAAATCAATCATAACCTGATCTTTCATTTCCTCACTTATATTATGTAAATTGACATTCGAAAAACAATGTCCAAAATTTCTTTGCATTGAATTGATTTGAATTGAGTTGTCCAGCTCTGTCATGTAGCAAATCAAACATCTTATGATTGATGGATCCTTCATCATTTTCTTTCTACTAAAACAAACAGTCAATTTACTGTTTTTCTTTTTATATGATTAATCTTTTCCTCTTTCAAACATTGACTTTTATACATTGTAATTCATATTATTCATTACCATAAAAACAACGAATGAACTTGTTCGATAATTACAGATAAGGTGATATTCTGATTAATACAGCTCTTTCTTGCAAGATGCTAGTGCTAGTTCAAGTTTTTGCTTGTCTATATCGATTGATAGTTATCTCTTTGATGATTAAATTTAAGTCGGGTGGGTGTGGGTGTGAGGTGTGGGTGTGTGGGTGTGGAGTGTGGGTGGGTATGTGAGTGTGGGGTGTGGATGTAGGTGAGGGTGGAGGTTTCAGAAGAAGGAAATGGCACACCCACACCCTCATGTGGAATAATAAAATAAAAAATAAAAGATTTCTTTGACGAGATAGAGTGATGCTGGCGTAGACTTTCTCGTAAGAATCCTGTCCGCCTCCACTTATTCAATAGTTGCATATTCAAATAGTTGAAACTGACTTTGATAATTGGATTCGAGTTTCTAATATTAAATGTATTATTAATTCTGGTTGTTTGACTCGTCTTTAAGATTCTTAGAATTCGACTGATGCACTTCGTTCATATGGAGAGATACTTGCTATGGGCTAGGTCATCCTGTCGATCGAATCATTCCACGTCTGACTATCGTCTTACGTAGATTTCAGGCGTCATGAATATGAAACAAAAGTTTCGTTGTTGTATTTGTGAACAAAACTCAGCTCGGTTTGACTTCTATTGAAACAGATTTCTATTTTACATATAAAATTCACTCATTCTTTTTTTCCTTCAATTCATCGATAAAAAGAAAGAGTTAGACAAACTTATTTCTTTCATTGTCACATAAAACAACAGCTTCGCATATTCAAAATCAAAACATTCACTCTCTTGACTGATGCAGAGCGTTACTTTTTTATCGAAGAAAAAAAAAACTCTTTTTTTCTGTTACTGCATCGTTGTTTAAGGACACATGTTGTGATTATTTCCAACTCTGGTTCAGCAGAGAATTCCACAAGGTGCAAATCGAATAAATAATTTTCAATTAGGAGAAAACCATTTTCCCAGTGCACCCACTGTAATAGTGACTCGTAAGATTCTCAATCATTGTCTCATTTCATCATGTGTCAACCGAGAAGGTTCAAACGTGAAGAACGAAATAAAATCCTCTTTTTTTAATTTGAAACATGATTTATCCTACTGGAATTCCACTTTACTTCTGATGATAATTTCATTTTGCTAATTTATCTTTTCCATAACGGCTGAGAGTTGAGAAGTAGAAGTCATTCCTTAGAAAATATTTTTTTTATATAGTTTTTTTTCTAAAACATCATCAGCTTTCCCTATCTAACATAGAACACAGTAAAATATAAAAAAAGGTATTGAAGTCTTTTCAAACCTCTATTCAAAATAGGCATCATTGTCTTTTCAAACTGTTTTTTCCTCTGCGGATTTTTTCTTAACAGAACATGTTCACCATCCATCACAGATCAATAGAGAAAACAAAATCATGGCAACGAGGAATTTAACGGAAGCAGCCAACTGTTCACTGGCAGCGTTGCATGTTGCTAAGTTTGTTTGTGGCTGCGGGTGGGTATGGATATGGATGTGGAACGATTGAAGACAGCGACTCACACCCACACCATTTTCTTCGAAGTAAAAAGTCGTTCCTTAATATAGAAGAACAAATTCTAACAATTGAACTACTGAGCAAGATTAGATATTACCTAACGCTTCTATACAACAGTGAAAATGAAGTTATCATTTCAGTTGACACTTTTTTGCCTGAATTGTTAATGTCTGTAACGGTTGATGTCTGTAATGGGGAGAATAGCCGCAAAAAACTAGCTCTTACACTTACACTCACTGTTTTCTTCGAAAACATACCTGAGTTGCACAAAAAAAAAACTTTTATTACCCAATTAAATTTCAAAATGACTTAGCAAGAGGTTCCATGATGACAGAACTATTACAGCAGTCGAACTTTAATCAGAATTTTAAAATCAATATATCAAGAAAATGATCTTTATTTTTAGAAATATAGAATTTCCCTTGAAAGAGAAAATCATTCGTAAAGTGATAAACTCTTTATTGTTCGAGATTCATGTACAAAGAGATTCTTTTTAGAAATAATTTTATCACTCAAGGAGGGTATGTACATTGTCTCTTAAGCTCGGCAGCACTCGCTGACAAGTTAAGACCGGTGAGAGAAAGAGCGTGATAGCCGTACTCTCAACCTGCAATCTTTCACACATTTTTTTCCATGCCCTACTTATTTTT